AATAGAATAATAGATATATAAGGTAAAGTGGAATTCCATTTGTGAGGTGAAAATGAGCGCGTGATAGGAAAAATGTAGTGAGAAAGTATGGTTTTGAGAAATGTGAAAAAATGTGGTTAAAAGAGTATGTAGATGATAAAAGTGAAAGTATGACCCTAGAGGAATGCAACAAGTCGGGTACGGGGGGTTGACTCCTAACTTTTCGACTTCTATTTTCCCTTTGATTAGAAGGCGAAACTAGCGTGCTAAGGCTATCGAGTAGCCACACTCGCTCGTTTCCCTTATCAAGAGGGGATTTTCACGCAAATGAACCCTAACTAGCATGAGATGCAAGTCCTAAAGTGAAGGGGAAGGGGTTTGAGGATCATGCCAAATGATAAAACTAAGGAAAATGCGTGATATGTGGTGAACAAGCAAATGATATACTAACGAGGAAAATCCCTAAGGGTCTAGCGTTGGACTAGCCCATTCTATGAATTCCGACTAGCGTTGGACTAGTGGGAACGATAAAAGAAGCCACAACTAGCGTTGGACTAGTGTGGTGACGTACATTCATCCATTCCATTCATCCACACTATATAAAAAAACGAGTAGACATGCGAATCACTTATAAACACGTAGCACATAACACTTAGCATGCTTGACTAGATGCAAAATCCTAATAAAACCTTTAACATATAACACATAGGCATGCAACCATTACATTTGCTAACAAAAACAAAGGGGAAAGGGGAAATGGACCAAATTACTTGCTACGCCCTATCTATTACAAGCCAAGAGGTGTACACATACCCCATTTAAAGAATAACGTAATGAAAATAAAAAGTAAAGGACATAAGTAAAAGGAATTAAGGAAAAGCTAGGAAAGCAAAGTAAGCATGCAATTCACTTAACACGTTGGGTCACATAGGAGAGAAACAAAAGGGATAAAAGAAATTATACCGCCCCTTTGAATGGTGTCCAAATGAAAAAAAAAAAATGGCTTCAAAATAATAAAAAGGTCAAGGTACCTCAAATAGTAAAGTATAACAAAGTCACCAAATCTCTCCTAATTGCAATTTAAATGAAATCAAATAATGCATAAGTTTCAAGAAAAGGACCCACCAAGGACCCAATTACCAACTAAAGACCCAATTGCAAACCTTAGTCAACCAGTCGAATTCAATCGAAACATTTAAGCACTCCAAAGGTCCCAAGAGCCAAGAAAAGATCAAACAACCAATTTATTTAGGGAAATTAAAGAAAATAGGCAAACACGAGCTCATTCGGTCATAAAACCCCTAAAGTCATGACTTAAGTGCAATCGACCAAGCATGGTAGTTAATTGAAACAAAACAAGCCATGAAGTTGTGGAGTTAAAACTTCCAAGGACCAGATTGAGGAAATTATTCAATTGGTTGGGTCATAGCGGCATTAGTTAGAAGCCAAGGGGTCAAAGTACAATTCTTAGATATTTTCATGCATGCATACGAACAGATTTCTGAATTTCTGGTTACTATACTTCTGCCAATGTTTCTTATTGATCACCCAAACATCATACACAAAGCTTCAAACTCCACATTTATTAGCTTCTTTAACACCAATCATCATGCACAAAAACTAATCGCAAAGATGAAAATGAAACAAAGCAGAGAGTGACCATAGGATCAAACTTCTTGCTGCAAAAATTCTGTAACTAAATCATGCAAGATTACTATGGAAGCTCCTGCAAAACTCTCGGCAGCTTGCTAAGAAAATTCTGCACTAAACTAGTCACCAACTTTCATTTTTCAAGCACGGGTCTTAGCCTCAAAACACAACTTCAAATGGAAACAAACTTAACCAACATCAAAACTTTGATCTAAAACCAAAAATCTGCTGGATCTTAGCATCTAAACATACAAAGAGAAGCTCAACCCAGCAGCTGTTTCGAGAAAGAAAATGGTGAAGAAAATGCAGATTTTCCAAAACACGACTTTGACTATATGTTTTTCACAACCCACCTTACAACTTTAGGCTAAACAACTACATGATCACCACTCTCCCAGCAAACAGAAAGCCTAGAATAAGATCATGCGACAATTTCTGGAGGAATATACAAAGATGATTTAGCACTTGGGGCTGCCACGGGAAAGAAAACAGTAAACAGGAGTATGAAAGGCAACTTCCCTCATGTCAAACCAGAGTTCCAGATTTCCCTCATGAAAATGTCAAATGATAAAGCATGGTACGGGAAACATCAAGGCCAACAAAGACAATTTAAGGCTCATTCAAATGTAATGATCTAAATCCAACAAGTTCACCCATACTAAGCTGGACGGCGTGAAAAGAGATTGGAATGAGTGCATACATGTCATAACTCTCAAAGTACCATCGAACCCAAAGTTTCAAATGAAATCCAGACCAAAATAAGCTAAAGGATGGCGCAAGTTTTGTCGAGAATTTGGCTGAAGAAACACAACAAAATATTCAGGCTTCATGCCCGTGAAAACCAACTCAGCAATACCAAAAAAAATGGAAACTTTCCTTGCCTCATCCAAGAAAAATTTCGGTAACCAAAAGTATAGCACTTCATGGTATTTTATTCAAACAATCAAAACCAGGGCCCTGAACTAGATTCCCATTCAACAGCCAAGAAAAAGAAAAAGAAAACGGCTATGACAGAAAATTTTGGACTGCTAAATCGAATCCCACAACATTTAAGTGAGCAAAAGACTGCATGACACAAGAAAAACACAATAACAGCCAAAGAGAGCAACTTTGGAATGTATAATGAAACGGAATGCATGAAACATCTCTGTCCAACAATCAGGTTTCATATGAGATGAAAAATAAGCAAGAGAAAGGGTCAAAAACTACCTGGTCACCGCCTTTAGAATTGCTGCTTCAGTTTGGATTGCGATGCCAATTCTGATGGAGTAGCTACTCGATCTCCTCTCGGTCTCCCTCTTTTGTTACTTCCAACCCCCACAAAGCTACCTCTTTTCCAAAAGCTGTTGTTGATCCTTTGATCCTTCCCGTCACTCTCTCCCGTATGCTCTCTACCCAGAATTTTCTCTAGCCTTCAACCTCTCCTCAAACCCGTCGGTCTTTTCCTTTTTTTTCCTTCCAATTTTTGCAGCCGCCCACCTCTCTCAAACTTTTTTCTCTTTGTGGCTGTCAACCTCCCCAACTCTCTCTTCAAAGCCTCACTCGAAAAACCAGCCTTTCCTCACAACCGACCTTTCTAGCTCTCTGATTTTCTCTGCTGTTTTCTCTTTCTTTTTTTTCAGTTTTTCGGCCCTCTCCGATCCTCTCTCCCGTTTTCTCTCCTGTCTCCCTTTCGTAGTCCCCCCTCCCTGCGGCTGATGTCTTCTTTTTCTATTTATCCTACCTCCCAAACTCCTAAACCCTTGCTTGTAAGGTGAGGATGAGGGGCAAGGACAGGCCCTCTCATCCAGCCCTCCAAAGGGCAAGCCTGGCCATCCTTTGCACGCTGCAAAAAAATTGCAGCGTGCATGCTGCGACAATTTTTTTTTTTTTTTCACAAAAACAACTAATTAACAAATGCAGAAAAACATAAATGTTATTTAAATGCAGAAAAACAAAAGTGCAGAAATGCTAATTAAGATAAAACGAAATGTTATTTTTCTTTCTTTTTTTTTTTTTTTTTTTAAAGTAGCCTAACAAAACGATAATAAAATTAAGTAAAAACAATCTAACAATCTAATAAAATAAACTAGAAAATAAACAGCAAAAATGGCAATTTTGATTTTTCGTTTCATTCATTTTTATTTTTTTCATTTTTCCAATCCAACTAAAGCCTATTTTTGAATTTTTCCTCTTTTTCCTTTTTTTTTCTTTTCTCATTTTTATGATTTTTCATTTTCATTTTCTTTCAAGAAAATATTGAATAAAAACAAAATGACTAAAATGATTTTTCTTTTCTTTCTAAAACTCTATAAACTTAAAAACTAAAAAACTAAAAACTAAAATCTAAAACTTAAAAGTGATTAAAACCTGAAATGACAAAAAAAAAATGAATAGACAAACTAAAAGGGCAAAATGAATAAAACTAAAATAAAATAACAACTAAAAATGCAAAACACGCAACAATGAACTAAATGCAAGCGGTCTAAAATAAAAATCATGAAGTAGAAGCCACATACAAATTATTCAAAATTTGGTGTCTACATAATCAACGCAAACTCGCACCTCTCCATTCTTTTTTGGAACAGGGACTGGATTCGAAAGCCAAATTGGGTAATGGAAAACAATGATAATGTTGGTTTTGAGTTGTTTTTCAATTTGCTCTTTTATTTTGAGGCTCATATCTGGTTTGAATTTTCGGGGTTTTTGCTTTACGGGTGTAAAAGTAGGGTCTGTGGGTAATTTGTGCACTACAACATCAGTTGAGATGCCAGTCATATCATCATAGGACCATGCAAAGACATCCTGGAACATAGTCAAAAATTCAAGGATCTCCTTTTTCTGCCTCTCATTCAAATGAATACTAATTTGCACCTCCTTAACCTCATCCTCAGTGCCAATGTTAACCTTTTCTGTTTCTTCCAGGTTCGGTTTTGGTTTCTCCTCATATTGTTCAAGATCCTTTGCAAAAGAATCGAATACCTTCTCATTATCACTCTCGCTTTGGAGCTCGGATTCACAGACCTCTAAGTCGTGAGTGATATAGAGATTGCCATTATCGAATTCCAGAATTGTGATATCCAAAGGGTCAAATAGTTTTATTTTTGGCCATCTGAAAGAATTAACGAATGTGGGATAATAAGCAAACAAACATACAACAAACAAATGAACAATCAATATGAATATAAACAAACGAATAAACCAAACAATATGACAAGAACAACTTGTGCATTTTCATAAAACCTTTGATTGAAAGCAAATACTAAAGAAAGCAAGCGGAAATAAATATTTACATGTGCAAAATTTAGTCAAAGGTAAAGATGCTTTCATTAGCTATTTACAGATGCAAAAGTATTTTCATGAATTCGCATGAATGACAAACCCTTTTAGGTTTACCGAAACTCCTTTCGAATGGGCAGAAACTCGGCTGTCCAATTAGAAATTGATCCTTCAGGGATGTCGGGAAACTCGGCCTCATCTGGGAAACTGTCTTCAAATGTTGCCCCAACGAACAATTGGGCCAAACTAGCTTCAATTTCGTCGACCGGGTTAAGCTCTGACATGATTACCTCGGTTGGTCGTGGAAAAGTATAATGCAGGGGTGGAATGTCAAGGGCCATTTGCCTTCCTTCTTTCTCCGCTCTCTTTCGTTCCTTCATTTCTCTAATGTCTTTAGTAGTCGGTCGGAAACCCAAACCAAATGAATCCTTTTTCTCCACAATCTCCACTGGCTTCCGAATTCCTTGCAAGTCTCGTCCCAGCCCTTTGTCAAATTCATATCCTCCGCGGATCATTTCCTTAGCCATCATGACACTGGCCTTTGATAGAGCTCGCTCCTCCTTTGTTATCCAACTGACGGAGACAATATCAGCCGTGCTATAAGGGGTCACGGTGGCATTTCGGCTACTCTCTTCTTTGCACTCAGAATCGGTAATTACAAGGCAATCCTCCTCGGCAAAGATAGGTATCAGCTTGTCATTTACTACGAATTTCAGCAATTGATGTAATGAAGAAGGCACAGCCCCAGACTTATGAATCCACGGCCTTCCAAGCAGAACATTGTAAACACTAGGAAAGTGCATGACTTGGCAGGTTATTTGAAACTGGGCAGGCCCCATCTCGACGACTAAATCCACTTCTCCTATTGGCTCTCTTTGTGCTCCATCAAAACCTCGGACTACGGTCCCTGAAGGCCTCAGCTTTATGTCTTGCAATCCTAGCTTTTCCAAGGTACTCCAAGGACAGATATTAAGCGCAGATCCATTGTCAATCAAAACCTTCGGCAGCATTTTCCCGTTGCACCTCACAACTATGTACAGGGCCTTGTTATGTCCAATGCCTTCCGCCGGCAATTCATCGTCTGAGAAAGCAATTTGCTTGGTGAATAACACATTCCCAACTACATGTGAGAAATTATCAACTGAAATGTCCTTAGGGATTCGAGCTTTAGTCAACACTTCAAGCAATGCATTCCTATGCGTGTCTGATGAAAAGAGCAAATCCAACATGGATATTTGAGCGGGCGACTTGCTTAGCTTCTCGACTATATTGTATTCACTTCTCTGGAGCCTCTTAAGAAAATCCAATGCTTCTTTCTCGGTGATTGTTGGCTTAGCAGGTGGCTCGGAATTACTTGCTTGAAATGGAATGGCAGCTTCAAATGGACTTGCATCCTTCCCCGATCTGGTGACCGCTGACACTTCTTCCTTCGCAATTAACTTTTCTCCAATCTGTATGACAGGTTCATCGTAGTTCCATGGCACTTGTTGCAGACTCAGGACAGGCTCCTGCTTCGGGAATTCGACGACTATTGGCTCCAAAACCGCCCTCTCAGCTGGCGTGAGATCCAAGATAAAAGGCTTTTCATCCTCTTCAAATGGCAATTCTATGACAAATGGTTGGTCCGTGACCCCAAACACTTCAGCTTCCCTTACTATCTTTTTGACTTGTTCCACGTACTCCGCGTCGTCCAGAATGACCCCATTGGTATTAGCGTGTTCCGGCAAGGGGTTCCTATTTACATTCGGCCCTTGTGCCTCCCTCTTTCGGATTACAATCTCCCCGGCTTCAACCATATCTTGAATTCTATGCTTTAGAGCCTTGCAATCAATGGTTGCATGTCCGGGGGCCCCTGAATGATAAGCACAGACGGCTTGTGGGTTATACCACGCGGGCATGCCATATGGATAGGTAGGAGGGGGTACCATACCAATTTTTCCCGCGGCCTTCAACTGGTCATACAATTGATCCAGAGGCCTGCCTAAATTGGTAAATGTACGGTTAGGGGATCGGTTGTAAGGTTCAGGAGGTTGAGGATGGTTGTAAATAGGTCTATTTGGGGGAGGAAATCTTGGGTTATATGGAGGGCGAGGTCGGTTTTGGGGTGAATTTGGTTGAGAAATTTGAAAAGGAGCTGAAGGTGGGTTAGGATAGCTTGGGCGAGGTCGAGGGTGGTGGATGTTAGTAGTATATACAGGGTGCGGGTTTGAATAAGAGTAAAGTGGTTGGTAGGTTGGATTGTGTTGATATCGGGGTCTAGGCGAAGGGTTTTGGTTCCAGATAAAGGTCGCATCCCCCTCCTTCTTTTTGAACTGCGGTTTTTTCACATTGCTTCCTTGCCCTTGTAAAGCATCCAACTGGGATTTGAGAGCAGAGACATTAACAATCTTCCCAGCTCTTACAAAGTCATCAAACTCCTCAAGTTTATTTACAATTGCAGCAAACGAACATCCGGTCATACGGAAAATCTCTTCAAAGTACGGCGGATCATGTGCTTTTATGAAAGTACGTATGATTTCATCCTCGGTCATCGGTGGCTCCACTTCCGCAGCTATCTTTCTCCATCTTTTGGCATATGTCTTATGATCTTCAGATGGTCGCCTCTTCATTCCTTCCAAAGTAGTCCGGGTTGGTGCCAGCTCGCAGTTATATTCGTATTGTCTGATGAAAGCGTTGGACAGATCAAGCCAGGTCTTCACCTCCTCTGGCTTTAAATTTGAGTACCAATCGAGGGCGTCCCCTTCTAGACTCTCCGGAAACAACCTCAGTGGCAAGTTCTCATCATCCACCGGCTTGTCCAACTTGTTGGTAAATAAACGCAGGTGTGCTTTAGGGTTGCTTGTTCCATCATATTTGTTGAACTTAGGGGTCTTGAACCCCACCGGCAGTTGTACGTTTGGAAACAGGCACAGATCATCGTAATCTAACACCCCTTATTTGCTTAAACCTTGGTTTTTCCGGATGAATTCATCGAAACGATCCAAACATTTAAGTAACTTCATATCAACCTGGGCAGACGACTCTCCCATTTCTGGCTTGTTTTGAAAAGTGTGCTCCGGTACCACAGGCTCTGCGGTAGTCTGATAAAAAACTGGTGGATTTAGATGCATGTTTGGATCGCCTTGAAGCTGAAATCCTTGCCCATAAGGAGGATAGAACGGAGGATTTTGAGTGTAAGCGTATTGCGGGTTGACAATTCCCTCAAACGTGGTTTGAATTGGAGGAATAACAAATGGTAACGTGGTTTGAATTGGAGGAATAACAAATGGTTCGGATTGTGGCTGTGTGGCGGGTACAGGTTCAGGTTGCACTCCGCTACTAATGAGCTCGTCAATCAACTTCTTCTGAGCGGCCATTTCAGATGCCATTTCTCCAAATTTTGTGAGTAACTCTGTCAACTGAACCCCGGGACTGGCGGCTTCCGGCTGGGTAGTTGCAACGGCCTTATCGGACGATTCTGGTTGAGTACTCATGTCTACACGATTCCTTTGGGCTTTACTTCGGGATCGCGTAATAATGGGGCTTTTCCGAAAAGCTATTTTGAAATTTTACCTGAGAATGCAAAAGACTTCTTTAGATAAACCAATCGTTACTGAATTTCTGCAATCTATTCAGAAGAGAAAAAAGAAAAAGACATGAGTTAGTAATTATTCGAACAATTCGGATGCATGTCCTATTTGGGGGGCCCTTTTTGTGCCAAGGGTAGGCCTAGCATGATGCAACACTTTTGGAATGAGACCCGTTAATCAAACCTGTTATTTGACAAACACTTTGTAAAAAAGGGAGAGATTCATTTCATTGCAGAAACCAGATACATCTGTTTACATCATATCGCGAAGGCGATTTCGTACAAGATCACCAAAGTTCCTAAGCCTATCTAGTACAGAGTCTTTACTTTCTCTAGCATATGGCATCTTGACACGTTCGGCTTGATCATATAATTCCCCACATTTCCGCTTCATCTCTTGGCGCCTTTCTCGCTCCTTCTCATATAACCTCTTGTTTTCTTCTGCCTTTTCTTTGTGTGCTTCGACGGATTTCTTCAACTGTAACACCTCCATGTCCTTGGCTTTAACGATGGCTCTCAACTTCTCAATTTCCTCATATGGCTCATGTTGCAACCCTGTGGTGGAGTCTTTTAACCAATCCTCATATTGTGAAATTATTACACCCTTCTGTTTGAGCTCCGGAAGATAATTAATGCTTTTATCATCAGATATTGTTCTCCAAGCTTCAGTGATTTGGCTCTTCATAGGGATCTCTTTTGGACATACTCCTTTATCAAAGAAAATAGTGACTTCACTGAACTCGGAAATAGACGCTGGTCCTTGAATGCGCCCTAGTTGTCTGAGAAACCTCTTCGGGGTATATGAGACGATCCCTTGAGTACCCAGCAAGAGAACACGTTCGGATGCCTTAGTGCGAAGTATCGGTTCAAAACAGTCTGTCCAATCTAATACCCACCTAATGTTGGAATCTTGTAACTTTTCCAAGTAATCCACATATTCGGATGCGTTTTTTGGCAGATCTCCTTCGTTGACTCTTTTGGGATGTGTGACTATCCAATTATATCCAACCACCGGCAAACTATTGGTAACGGATGCTTGTCTCTTAAAATGTCCCGTAGCCCATATGTATAAAACCAAGTTCGCCCCATGGAAGAACTTTTCTCCCTTTCGACAACCAGTACAAGCTAAGAAAATATCTGCGACAATGGTCGGGACTATAGAACATTGCTTACCCTGAATTCCCAAGAAAAGGTCATTCACAATTTTTGCTGATTTAAAGGCTATCTTTTGATCTTTTCGCGAAAAGAAATAGATCCCAGTCATAACTACCCCATATACTAGTGGCCTTTTGCGCTCCCATATGGCTTTGGAAGTGAACACAAAATCCGTCACATGCCTCTCGAATCCGTCGCGTGGCGCAAAACGTTCAAACAGAATATTCACGGCGACGCCCTGATCTGACCCTCGTAGCACTGACTCTTTCAATCCTATAATTTGACAAAATTCGGCCTTGTCGGAAGCAAACGGAAATACCAAGGCAGTTCCACGTGTGGGTAAACCAAGGAGGCCAGCTACTTCCTCGAGTGTTATAGTCATTTGGCTATTGCCTATTCTAAAAGCAGAACACTCTGGGTCCCACAGATGGACTAAAGCCTCAATCAAATAACTGTTGGATTTGATCTCCTTAAAGTCTCCAATTGGTCCTAAAAACTGGGCTACTTGATGCAGTTCACTAGGTAACATGAAGGTAGGCCGTTGTTGAACCTAAGTTGACGGTATTAACAATTGATAGATGCGGCGAGGGCAAGCCATCTAAAATGGAGAAAGTAGTTCGTTAATTACCTTACCTATGAGTCTCATTCCTCCAGTTATGCGATAACTTAAACGTGCAGTCCCTTGAAGGGTTAAATACCCATGGGACACAAAAAATGTTGGTTTTATTCCTAAAAACGGGATTCCCTACGTGGCGTTCCCTTTCTAGGGTGTACCAAGTCACCCAAAAATGATTTTTGGGATAAAAATAGAGTCGCCACTTGGTATAGAGTTAGGGTGTACCAAGTCACCCAAAAATGATTTTTGTTTTTGAACGAAAAAGTAAACAAACCCTTTTAAAACTTTTAGGTCTACGTAACCAAAGAAAGGGATCGGGGGTCACATTTGATAAGGGAGAAGACAAAGGCAAAGCCTAAGGCACTCCCTTACCCTAGCCAAAGCTAGTTGCGTGACTTAGCCTCACGATTCCTAATATTTCTACCCAAGGTATTGTCGCGCCCCATTTTTTGATAAGAAAAAAAATAGTTTGGGAAAGATGTTTTTGATTCCATTTTAATTGGAAAATGATTTTTGTGAGTTGAAAAAGATATGGGTCTAATATGGGACTTGAAAAAGCGACGATTTGACCCAAAAAAATAGCTTTTAAAAAGGGTTTTTGAATGAGAAATTGGAGTCGCCACTTGGTAATGATTAAGGTGTACCAAGTCACCTAAAAAATAAATTTTTAAAGACAAAGTAGTAAAACCCTTTCAAAAAATGACTCCTAGTCCACGTATGCCAAAGAAAAAGGTTCGGGAGTCACGTTTGACAAAGGGGAAGGCAAGGATAGAATCCAAGGCACCCCTTTGACCTAGCCAAGGCTAGTTGCGCGACTTAACCTTACCTTTCCTAGTTTTCTACCCAATGTATGTTGGCACGTCGGATATGACTATATGAATGCAAAACGGAAAGGAAAATGCAATCCTAAATTCTACGATTTCTCTTGTGAGGCTTTTGGTCCCAAACCACATGAATTGTGGCGGGCAACAAAGGAAAACCTCATAGAGGTCGATTAATGCAAATGAGAGTTCAAATTCAAGTGTGCAAGTGTGAAAGTGTATGAAAGATGCAAGAAATGTAAGTGCAAGTGTGCGAATGTATAAAAAGGTGCATGTGTGAAATTGTATAAAATTCAAGTGTTTTTTGTGTGCAAGTGTGTGAAAATAGAATAATAGATATATAAGGTAAAGTGGAATTTCATTTGTGAGGTGAAAATGAGCACGTGATAGGAAAAATGTAGTGAGAAAGTATGGTTTTGAGAAATGTGAAAAAATGTGGTTAAAAGAGTATGTAGGTGATAAAAATGAAAGTATGACCCTAGAGGAATGCAAAAAGTCGGGTACGGGGGTTGACTCCTAACTTTTCGACTTCGATTTTCCTTTTGATTAGAAGGCGAAACTAGCGTGCTAAGGCTATCGAGTAGCCATACTCGCTCGTTTCCCTTATCGGAAGGGGACACTCAAGCAAAATGAACCCTATAGCTAGTATGGGATGCAAAACCTAAAATGAGGGGAAAAGGGGTTCGAGGATCATGCCAAATGATAAAACTAAGGAAAATGCGTGATATGTGGTGAACAAGCAAATGACGTACTAACAAGGGAAAATCC